GTTTGTTTGTTTGTTTGTTTGTTTGTTTGTTTGTTGCTTCGTTCTGGCCCTTTTTGCTGTTTATCAAAAACCTTCGAGCATCGGTCAGAAAAAGAGACAGCAGGGTTTTATATTTCTGGTCCGAGAGGAGGAAAGACATGGTGGACTGAGGTCGAATGAGGAACTTTTTTTTTCGCCACAGGACGTGTTTCCTCCTCGCGACGCGGCTCGCATCAAATCCGTCATTTAAAATAATTAAATGTGTCGTATACTTTTTATCATAACTTCAGATCTACTTGGCCTAACAACACAACTTAAAAACTGGTTTAAAGTTCGAAGGCTCTACTTTTGACTTAAGAGAGAGGACGGGTCTTTACAGGTATTTTTTTTTCTTCCCAAACTTTATTTAGGTCAGTCAGCATTGACAACGCTCTGCGGGTGACGTAAACGGCTCCGCGACACGGCGAGGGACACATAAATCGCGCGACACAACGAATCGATAATGAAATTTGTTGCCAATGCTTTTAATTATTGATTTTTATCTATTTTATCGATTCGTTGTTGCAGCCCTACAGAGCACCCCTCCCCCGAAGCATTGTTTGAAAATGGGCTGAAGTGGGAGTGTCTGAAATGGTAGGAGGTTCTTAAAGAGACAGAGGCCAATTTCAAGGCGTTTAGATGATGCAAAGTCAAATTTATTCTTGAACTATCTGCCTMAAAAATACATATCCCGCCCCCAATAGAAACCATCAAATAAATACCATAATGTTTTAATGGTTTATTAAGTGTAAGTTTACCATTTTCTTTGTTTTATGAACATTTACTTTTWAAGCAAAGAAAATAAAAACACGACTGCGTTCAAAGTTTAAATATTTCTCTTTGTAAGATAAAAGTAATTTGAGGGTTAAAATCTTAAATCTTAAACTTTATAGCATGCCTTTGAAAGTGGACAAAGGTAAATCGTTAGAACAGTGAGCTACAGAAATTGGTAAGTAATTCACCTGAAGGACTAAAATAAATTAATAAAATATAAAAAACAGGTAAGAATCACTGAGTAAATGAATTCACAATAAAACAGAGCAGTTTGGGCTTTTTTACGACATTACTAGAGTTCAGATTACGTGGTCATTACATAACCCTAACCCTTATCTAATCATTTCAAGGTCAATCTGTTTTTCCATCAAAATGGTCCCTCTGACCTGAACCCACATCAGTCTCAGCGTGTCTTTGTCTCCATCTCGTGGGACAAGGAGTCCTCTCTGAGATAATTCTGTTGTTTCTCAGCTGAGAAGCTGGTGAGTAAGAAGATGGAGGAGATCCAGAAGAGCGTTGACCTGGATAAGAACATGGAGGGAGCGTACCTGACCCACCTGCTGCTCAGTGACCAGATGACGGTCACAGAGATCCTGGGCAGCATCACAGAGCTGCTGCTGGCGGGAGTCGACACTGTGAGCATTTACATTTAGTCACTTTAAACCAGTGTTTCCCAAAGTTGGGGTCGGGACCCAAAGTGGGGTCCCGAAACATCAAGGTGGGGTCCTGAAAAGATTTTCTGAATTAGTTACATTTTTGCCTTAGTTGTTACAAAGGAGTGAGGTTAGTGTATTTAAAATGGATAAATGTAGTATAAAAATATTGTTACTATGCCCATGATTTGTTGACTTGATACAAATGTTTAGCATCCAAACATAGTTGGGGGCACAGGTCTCTGC